GTAGGATTCCAGGAAGCTTAATCAACTCTAATAGCAGAAATTACTCTGAACATAGCTTAACATTTCAGATAGCATTCAAACACTGACGTTTATAACAGTGACAAAACTATGTCAGACACTTAATTTTGCTTCACCATTATCTTGCTACAATTGAACTGGCAGGTATCTATTTAAGGTGTAAAATGGCTAATGAGAAAACTGAGTAGAGTGATTCTTTGTAGTCCTCCATATTTTTAACTGTTTTCCTTGCTATTTCACATAAAATTTTGAAGGCAGATTTCAAATTCTTGTTTTCATTGGGATGCAAAGACATTTTAGAAACAAACAGAAGCCAATCACAACTGAGTATCATCCATACTGGGGGGGGGAGGGAAGCAGAAATAAATACACAATAATTTATGAATTCCTCTGTACATTAATAAAACAAGATTCCACAATGTAGAAATAAATCTAGACAGGGTTCAAAATTCAGAGAAATTTATTCTAGAAGCACAAAAAATGCAGTAGTGATACCAAAGTCATGTCATCATCCCAAGTCAAGAAACAGGCCTCACAACCAAGTATACAAGGTTAGTCAGACTCACCTTCCCTCGTTAATTTTTGCTTTGTCTCCTTGACACGAGAAATTCTCAATGTAACCTAGACTGCAGTTGATCCGTGCCCAGTCGGGCTGGCACACAGCAAGGAAGTGAGGACGCAGTCTACCTATGGAGTACTTGGCAATGTCTGTCAACGACTGGCTAGCAGCTGCTCCAAAAATGAAGGTCCCAATGGCTTTGTAAATAGTGGCTAGGTAGTTATTTCTGACAAATGAGTTTGAGTGCAAATGGTTACAAAAGACAGAGAGTGTCTCTCCTAGGATTATCTGAAAAAGAAATAAGGATGACAGTTAAAAAGATAATAGCTTAAAAAGAAAGTTATTACTCTGTTGTTAATACTCAGACATGTTGTTACAGAAATTAATTTTTAATAAACATTAAGCTATGCATTTACATTTTCCAAGAGTCAGCAATAATCATGCCCAAACTTTAAACATCTATGTAGACTAAAAAAAAAAAAAGAAAAAAAAAAACCCAAAAACTTTTTACTTTATCCTTCTTTATGTTGGACTTAATGACCTTAATTTTCTGAACACTTAGAAAACAAAGCCTTCTCAGAGTAATGTTTATCCAAATTAGGGTAAGTTAGGCATGCCCTAATTAAAAATAGAGTCCAGTATAACATTTTATTCTACATTGAATTTTCTTCACCTAAACTTCTGCCAAGCAAAATTTTTGTATTTCATCATAAAGTTGTTAGGTTTTCTGTGATGCCAGAGACTATTCTAAAGGGTCTTCATTTCCAGCTGTGAAAGGCCACTTACTTTAACCAAGAAAATTCCTGCTCCTTGGGAAAATTAAATCTTATCAGGAGAAAAGTAATAAGAGTAGGGAAATTTTTAGGGAAAGACAGGCATTATTGAGGTCTTTCCAAGGATTTTTCTCTCTGCACGTCCAGGTATGCCCATCAAGCGTTGACAGAAATGTGGATTTAATTTTGTTTTCCTGCAACTCTGTCTTTTGCAGAAAGTAAGTTTTTCCTCATGCAAAGTACAAAACGTCACCCCAGACAGGTTGGACACTGAACCAGATGGACCCATTTGGTACAGAAAGGCTCAACTCACACGGATGATGAGATGGGTGGGAGACTGTATGCATGTATGTGAAGTGACTTTTAAAAATGCTGTGAAGATTAAATGATGGTTCCATCAGTCACTTAAGCGTGACAAGTCAGGGATCCCAGCAAAGCAGAGCTTCAGTGAATTAAGCTGTTATTAGACACTGACACCTGGGCAGACGAAGTAGCTGTCAGCAGCTTTGCACTTTAAGGCAGACAATCCCATCAGATGCATGACACTGAAGTTTTACACCCTTCACCGTACCAAAACATGGACTGAAGTAGAGAAACACCAGAACATGGACTAAAGCTGAAAGTTTTCAGTAAAGTAGATGTTGGCAAGCTTTCATAGAGAATATACCTATCACAGAGAGTAACCTCTTAATGAAAAGAGCTGAACAGAAATATCACAGCCATGACTGGTAAATAATTAATCCCTTTTCAAGAACACTGCTACAAAACATGCAAGAAAGTCACTTATCTCAGTTGAGATGACTAAAAATTAAGTGATCTCAATGCAGCTACTTCACTGAATACAGATAGAGTATTTATCTTCAATAATCTGACTGAGCATTGAGTAAAGGACATCAACATTTACTTTTACCATCTGACTTCAAAGTAATCTTGACAGAAAAGCCTGATTTCACTGAATGTGGTAACTTTGTTAGCTAAATGTTCATATGGATGCTGGATAAATTCAAACAAAATACACCCACTGAAAGTTACTGTATTGACTTAAGTCTCTCCTGACTAGGGAAGTCCCTGAGCTGCAAATGGCTGACAGCAAAATACTGAGGGCAAAACATCAGTGTTCGCTTACTTTTGTGTTCTTTCTCAATCATTTCTTTTAACTGCTGCTAGAAATGAGGTAACAAGCTAGATGGACTTCAGCTGTGACCAAGTACTGCTGCTCTTAGGTAATACTGACTACCAATGATAGTAGCAGTTCAAAATGATTAGCCATGTCTTAAAAAGCAGGGTCTTCTAGTATGACTTGTCAGTTAATAGAACAGACAAAACAGAAAAAAGTTTTAATCTGTTCCAGAAGTGTTTCGTTAGGCTTTTGAAACAGTTTTTCTAAGAAAAGGAAAACTAGGTAGAGTCACAGCCCCACATTTCTACAGTTAGGAAACAAAATTCCACCCAAGAACAAATATAAGCTACAAGCTGGCCTTTATGTTGAAACCTAGATAAAAAAATCCATGCAATCCTTACACAAGAAACAGTTAGACTGCCATAATTTTAACCTGATTTTAACCCATTATCCCAGAGAAACAGCTGGCCAATACTGAGGTTTACATTTAGCTGCTCCTTTTCCAGCTATGATTCCTAAAATACACTTGGATAAATATTTACACACCTAAAAATCTTATTTGGCATAAAAGTTTTAACTCTGCTCGAAGTGTAGCTCTGGTGAGCTTGGATGTCACCCAGCACAGAGCTGTGAGTGGAATCTGGAGCTTTTTAGTACACCTGGACAGTGATCTTGAAGACGTCATTGAAGGGCCACTGTTGGAACTAAAATGTAATCCCATGAGACTTAGGACACAAAGTGGCTAAATGGTGAAGTACAGTTCTCCCCTCTGCCCATGCCCACCACTTTTTGCTCCAGCACTGATACTGTATACTTCCAAGACCTATTTTGCTCAACCTAGCTAAAAGCAGCTTAAGGAATTTCAGACAAGCCACCAAAGGTGGCAAAGCCAGTGGGAGCACGCCTTGTCTCCATAGTAAGCTACTAACCTAGCTCAGCTGATACCATGTAATCACATCCTAAGGATACAGAGTCACTATATGCATGAGCCAGTTCAACTGAGCCAGCTAGGAGCTGTGGTCAACAAGGGAGATCCCAAACTGGCTGTTGGAGAGCCATTCTCTCCAGCTCACTGATCTGGATGTGAAGGGGAGGGAAGAAAAACAGTGCCCCATTTCTGACCAGGTTAGGTGCAGTATGAAAGTGAGCCCTAGCATTAATTCAAACACAAGTGGACCCAGTGTTTTATCATGACCTTCAGCAAAATACTCACTGAAAAACTCCCTGGATACTTATTCTATTTATTCTAGTTATGCTTTTGGCAAGTTCTGGCTGGAAGCTATAATATTTTGCTATTAAAGAACTTAATATCTGTTGTTACACTTTCACAGAGAACTATTTCCAGTGACTCTGTGGAAGAGAAAAATGCCAACTTAATACTATCATTCAAGCTCATATTCTGAAAGTAGTAGCTCCCAAAATAGAAAAGCTTGAGACAGTAATTTAAAATACATTAGTGCTATTCTTAACTTTTCCTCCCTTACCATATCAGTTTTTACCTCTCAGACTATAGAATTTAGTCACCAAAGTTCTAAGGTATTCTTTTTCTGTTCTGTAATTGTAGTTGTTTGACCATAATTGAAGAAAATTTTTTGGTTATTCTTGCCAGAACACCATTTCTACTGCTTTAGCAGCTTGTTTAAGGACATTAAAGTCAAGAAATCCTATAGAATACAGTTTTAGAAGTCTGTATTAACAGATTACCCCTCCTCCCTCTTCCCAACCCCCATTGAAATTAAATGCAATGAAGAAAAGTTTAACTTACAACAATTATACTGAAAGGAATAAGTATTCCTGCTAACAATTTATAAGAAATGGTGTCCTCTTTGTATGGATACCGGATGGATTCATCACTACAGAAAACTCCTCTCTGGAAGGGTATACGTCTTGAACTGAGAATTGCAAAAGGCAAGCCAGCTAGCAAAAAGGAATAAAAAATACATTACAAAAGCAACACAAACTCTAGCAATGATTACACCCCCACATTTCCAAAGAGAAGTGCATAAAGAGCAATGGGCATGCAGCAAGTTAGAAGGTTATGCACTTCCTTTGGCCAATGACTACTGCCTTGTCGTTGTAGCTCCCAGGAAGGATTGTTGAATGAAGGAGAGCAGGACAGGGTTCCTCTGACCTTGGCATTTTTGGCACAACGTATTGAAGCATGCTGAAACCACGACTGAGTAAATGGTTCAGTGACAATCCCCAGCTTGCTCAATCTGCTGCTACTGCCACAAGTATCTACTATTCCTTTATATTCCTGTGAGCAGCAGTTGCCCCCTTTTACCTTCTCTGGACAACTTTACAATCAGAAGAGCTTAAATCTCATTTTATGTAAGCAGAAAAGGGGTGCTTCTTGGGGGGTACAAGTGCAGAGAGAGTTTTCAGGAAGACATGGAAAAAAGGAAGAGTTACACATGCACTCAATCCCCTCACTTCACATACACTGGATAGCTCCCTGGAACAACGTGGTCACTGCACAAGCCCTACTACAACCTCAGGGCATGGGGACTTTCTTTCCCTCTCTTCCACAAAACAGGAAGCCTTTGGCTTATCCTAAACACAACAGGACATAAGATTAAGGCACACAATGCTGTGTGCACCTCAAAAGACCTGCAACACTAACCAAAACAGTTCTTTGAACACCCAGCTCAAAATAGGACTACAGACTAACAGAATCACATTTTAAACCTTGGATCCTCTATTCTTGACACATACACAGCATCTGCACAATCTGTTTTCTGATGAGAAACTCAACTATTTCTGATGAGAAATTCAACTATTTCTGATTAATACCCTCAGAAAGAAATATCTGTGTAGAAAAATGAAGTGGAGGACTAACAGGAATGTTCAACAAAACAGTCTCTTTTAACTTAGGGTTATCCAGCCCACTGACATTGAAGTGCTTAAAAGCCCTTGATTTTGTGCTCAAAATTCAGCAGTACTGCACATAAAATGCATACCCATTTGGAGATAGACAACAAAAATCATATGGGGGAAGACACTCATAATCTACCAGTATCGGATCAGAAGGATGAAAACCAGCCACCTTCCTTCCTGACAGAGAAAAAGATGTTGCTGCAGTCACAGTTTCCTTCTCAGGACCTCAGTGTCAGGGCCTAGCCCACCTCTTCCTTTCCATTTACACAGCTAGCCCCAAGTAAGTGTGTACAAACAAAAGTAAACACAGAAAAAACAGGAGAAACAGAAAGGTAGGAGTTAAAAAAAATAAAATAAAAGATACCAACCAAGTAAGAGAAGTGTTACGGAAGAGAAGAGAAACACTAAGTTACACAGTCAGGATTTACAAGAATTGAAAAAAGGAGAAGACCTAGGGTCCTTTTCAACCATCTTCCCCCTTTAACCTCTACCCATGAAATCCTTCAACTAATCCTGACTCCTGGGCCCATCACAAATCAGACATACTGTGGTTTCACCAATAATTTACTACTGATTTTTTAACTCACACCATAAAGTGACTTCTTAAAAGAATTCTTCAGCTTAAAAACAGACACAGAAGAACAAACAACAGACTAAGGTGAAAATTTTCTTGAAGTAACCTATGATGAATAACACACAGCTTTGTTTCACGACCAAGCAGTTAACTGCCTTATGCTTATCACAGTGCTCATGTATGTACTCCAGGTAAGCCTGTCACAAAGTCAGTCACAAAGAATGAAGTACCTACTGTACTGGTACAGTAATAAAGTAAAACAGTGGGGTGGGGAGGGTGGAGGGGGGGTGGGAAGGGCAGGAAAAAAAAATCCACTGTCATTGTGAAGAGAAGCTGTTTCCAGCTCTGTGCCAGCGGGACTGCACTAGCTCTGGAAGCTGTCCAAGCACACCAACAAAAGCAGAAGGACAGCAGGATGGGCTAAGAGCCAAGCCAGAGCCTCGCCAAAACAGTGAACCATTCAGACACCAGGCAGCAGAGAGCTCTGGAGCCAGACTGTGCTGTACAGTGCAAAAACACAGCCTTTCCTACCAGAAAGGGAAAAAAAGAAATCACTCTCCCTTTCTCCTAATAGTAAGCATACCAGGGTTTATGAAAAACACTGCAGCCCAGATCTTGTTTCTGCCCTCCCCTCATGTTGGTATTGTTACAGTATGTCATGATACATCACCAGTTGTTTAGAAGCAGCGTACAGTCATGGCGATCGAAGACTACCTGTCAGAATAATAATGCCATAGTGTGTTTCCAACACCATTTATTCTACAATATATGGAATGAAAACTTCATCCTTTGCCCTGCACACATACTAACACTAGATTCAAGACTGCATGCTTGAGAAAAATGTATTTTTTAGATCTCCAGAACTGGATAATGAGGCTTGCACAAATAACAGTGTCTCAATTTTTTACATATTTACTTCTTTAGAGTAGGCAGTTTAAAGCACCAAGGTAAATCGGGTGCTCACAAAATTAAGTTCAGTCTAGAAAAACCTTATCACAGCTTCAGCACACTGCCACAAATACTTACAATCAAAGGTAGATGGCGTCACTGACACCAAATCATCAGCTCTGCACCATCCTTGTAAAGACCTGCTCTATGAATAAAGGTGTCACAGTGGCTTCCTCCTCATTTCCTCCTACCCACCCCTGAATGTTTCAGCTTTTCAAAGTGGGAGATAAGATCTTCAGAGTGGTGAGCTTATTCAATTGGTGTGAGGGGCTTTTTTCTTCATGTAATTAGCCTCTGCTAAACCAGAAATAGAAAGCAATGTCTTGAAGTGTGTTCACTCTTCATCAATATTGAGATTATGATGTAATTAGCCTGTAGTTGAGTGCAGCATCTTCCTGTATCAAGATGATGGAAACAAAATACCAAACAACTCGAGGTTTATTTTTGGCTTGCTTTTTAAGCAAGTGAGAACCACCTAAAATAAAGTTATGCCTTCTCTTGTGTAATTTCTTTCCATCTCTTTTAACCTATCTGAAGCCAATCCCACTTTGCTAATTAAGAAAGAAAACTTTATAAACAGTTTCCTGAAGGCATAACCAGCAAAATTCAGGTAAGAGAGTATGAGTCTTAAAAAGTTCTAGGTATCTGCCTCATTTGAAGGAGCAACAAATTGGAAGAGCTATGCACCAAAATACAGTACTGCTGAAAAAGCTTCTATAGTAAGCTTCATGAAGTTGTTCATCAGTTTCCTCCAACTGCATAACAGATTTAAAAAGTAATTCCAGCAGTCACTTGTCTAATTGCTGTGCCCAGCACATTTCAGTGCTGAAAGGAGACATGCTCCGTGAAAGCTTGAGATAAAGATTTAAATTGTTAAAAAACAGATTACAGTAAAATTGATCAGATAACACTGTTAAACTGAAAACTAAAGTCAAAAAACTGCAACATTTGTGGTCTACTTTTTGCTCGATCCAAGGCAGTTATTAGCCTGAAAAAACAGTACTGGCTTTTGATGTCTTTTGGTTAAAGTACTCTCCAATGTCAATACCTACTCCCTCAGAACATACTCCATAAGCAAGTTTAAATTTACTTCTTTTAAACACACATGAATTGGCTTCACTTTTAGATGGTGGGAGGTAGGACAGAAGTAGAAGGTAAACCAGAGGGGTAGCAACTCCTACTGTTTCTGGCACATAAAGCCATTAAGAAAAACTTCTAATATATAGGGGGTTTGTTCTGTTTTAAATGAATCAGCAAAGCCTGGGGTTTTTAGGGTTTTTTTAAATGAACAACAAAAAGCAACCAACCATCGGTTGGTTAGAAACACCCTAATATAAAATCCCACCCCCCAAAAAAAAAAAATAAAATATAATCAGCTATTTCAAATATATAGCTTAAGTACTTTCTGCAGTGCAAGTCTCCCTCAAAGACAATGCAGAGACAGGGAAAAAAACCCCAACAGTTTGGCTTTTTCATGAGTACAAGCAGGACAAACAAGCAGAACTGGCGGTGAGCGATGAAAGGGAAAAGCCTCTTAGCAGAGCAAGTACAACAGAAGGGTTTCCCTATAGTTGTGATAGACATGTTTACTTTTTCACCTTGAGAGATATCTTAATTTCACAAGACAGGAGTAAGTTTTTGCATCAAGTAGCAATTTCCCAAGTATGAAACATCAGGAGGACTGGGTATTACTGAAGACACCAAATGGTATTTGTCTTCAGAATGGTACAACTACTGTTAGTGTCAAGGTCTTTAACTTCCCAGATATAACTGAAGAACAAATTTTAATAGTACTATAGGAGGTGTTATACTTTGTCAGAAGGTTTATCCACATAAAAGTCCACAGTTTCTCAAAAAAAAATAGCAAAGATTCAACAGCAGATCACTGGGAAAAGCAATACTGCCACTCATCTGCCACAGTCACATGTTGCCGTAGAAAATTAAAAGAAAGGTCCTGCTTTTTCCCACCAAACATGCTACAGTTTCTAAGGGCAGAGTTTGGCACATTAAAAAAGAAAACTAGTAAAAATCAGTTCAGGTCAAGTTTTACATGATAGTAGAAGAAACCGGGGAGTTTATGTATTCCTCTAAAGTAAGGAGTAAAGATGGCAGAGGGTCATCAAAGGCTCTCTACTAAATACTTTCCATATGACAATACCAAAAAGCATCCCTGATGTGTAATTCATTTTCCAAGTCAATTGTAACACAGTGAAGAATTTGCCTAAGGGGAAGATGACAACAGGTATGTGAAGAGGAACTATAGGGTTGGGAAGAGGTTACCAGTAGGGTAATCTCAAGGATAAAGCCAACAATCTGGTGTTACACAGTTCATATGCCAGCATTATTAATGAATAACTACTAGATGTACTGCTGACAGAGCTGTCAATTCTCTGATATGGTGGAAAAATCAAGGTCAGCCAGTTCTGCCTGCAAAACCACTCTTAAAGACTGAAGCAATAGAACAGATAGATTTGTGCAGTACTGAATTCGGAGTCATGCACTTGGAGGTTAAACAAGTTGGA